TGAGTAAACAATAAGTTAACAAAAAGGTAGATTCCTGCATACTGAAAATAATTAAACCTCCAGAAAATGTTTTTAACAACCAAACGCCACAAAATAAAAAAAGATAAACGGGTCGAACAAATGCATACTAATCTTTTAAAACCAGGATTATTTCTCACATTTTAAACCCCCCTGATATTTTCAAATCTGACCGGATAATTCTCAGGTTTTCCATGACGTTGGAAATATTGTCGAATCAAAAGTTCTTTATCACCATATTCAGTTAAAATCAAGTATTAATAAAAGCCATTATGGCAGTAATGACATCATAATGTCAACGCAGTGACGTCTAATGTAATATTTTACAGCTCAGGCAGAATTCAGCTTGCTTGTTATATGAATATTAATGTCATAATATGGTTAGAGGACTATTTATTTAAACGTTGAATATGTATGTACTACAGCACATTAAGTCTAAAAGTGCACCATGACGTGCACAACGGTGCATTATGACGCGTGACCGGCGGAAGGGTAGCACGTGACGATCACATTATACTAACTTACCTGCAGTTTGTAACTTCAAAAAAGGTATGCTTTTTTCCCCCTCACTTCGTAAAGCAAATTAACTTATGACTCATCACAGGAATATAAATAATATAATCCGAAATAGGACTATTCTTTTATATAACCTAATTAACATCCAGAATTCATTAGTCAAAAATCAACATAAGTCCACTTCATTAGGCAGCAACCGGTGAAAGTTACCAAACAATCGCCCTTAAGTTCAAGTTCAGCGCGAGATCAAAACTTCAGCTCAGTTAATTCATACTGAAACACTTACAATTCCTTTATCAACATGTTCTCTCCTTCTGCTCCGCGTGCCCCACATGTGAGTTGATTCTTCGACTCTTCGGTCCACCCCACCGTGACTCGTTTCGGTTCAAGTTCCTGGATTTCTCATTTCTTTAAATTCATTTCCTGAAAGATGTCGACAGGAGCGCCGCGTCGTCACGGCAACCACACCCACGAGCAGGAAAACCGGAGCAGGAGCCAATCTGATTGGCCAAGAGCCGCATATAGAACCTTCCGCCACACCCTGGTCAGATGTTTAACACGCTCAAACGCCACTCAGAGTCAGCTGCACAGAACTGTGACTCTGATTCCACATTGATGTCAGGTAGATGTTCTTGTTCCGCTGGTTTTACATTTAGGGTAAGACTACAACAGGAGGGATTTGGGCGTGAAGGTGTTTTTGCATGTCCTGTCCCAGACTTGACTTTCCAGTCAGTATGACGATCGTTAGATAATTAGTCATTCCACGTGAATTTATGTTCAGCACGTGTGTGTCTTGAAATGTAGTTCTACTCCTCTTCTGTATTAGTCTTAATATAGTGGATAAAATATTAAACATGCAATTTATAAACATGGAAATCTTAGTATACAGTTACTGAGATGAAAACTAGGAGTCTCTGAGAGTTTCTGGGAGCCTCTTCATTTTCTCTTTCTCTCTCAGCTTAAAATATTTCATCCTATTACAACAAGATATTTATATGTGACCTTGGACCACAAAACCAGTCATAACGTCAATTTTTCGAAATTGAGATTTATACATAATCTGAAAGCTGGATAAATAAGCTTTCCATTGATGTATGGTTTGAAAATATCTAAACAACCTAAATTGCGGCTTAAAAGACAAAAAAAAAAAAAAAAAAAAAACCTTGGTGATCTTTGAACTCTTCATTCATTCAATCACATTTACCTCCTTGACAACTTGGTATACTCTCTGGGAATGCCAACAAGCCTTAATTTTACCATCTGAAGACAATGGCATTAATAATCTTAATCTTATAAACAACAGAGCACTTTAATTATTAAGAACTGGAGTTGCTTTATTAAACTGACCTGACCTGTCTCTTTGCAATCATGAAACGGCAATGTTCTGATAATATTGTTTCATAATGAATTTACTTTATTGAGTGATCTCAAATTAGAATAAGATACTATA